GGGAGGGGAGTTCCGTGGCACTGGGAGTGTCCACTTCTCTGAGTTTTCTCCTGAGTTCCTCCACACCCTCTACCAGTCGATGCTACCCAGCTTTGGGGAAGATCCCCAGTCGATACTGATAACGAAAAGCACGTTCCGAAAACGTGACACTGTGAACAATGAGATTGTGTTGGTTGGGACGTTCCAGAAATGTCCAGAAACTTTGAGGGGGGGAAAGGAAAAGCAAGGGAGGAGGGAAACTCGAAAACCTGTTGAAACATCTCTCTGCTGTTGACAGACTCCCTGGGAAGGCATTGGAGGGCATAAAAGCATTAGCGCCCTCAGGAGTGTAGCTTTTAAGGCTTAAACCATGCCAGATTATATACAGACAGCAGACAGGTGTGCCAGCTGTGCTTTGAGGGCTCTCGCCCATGTACACCGTACAGCAACGGGCTCGCTCTGGGCAGCCTCTGCCAGAGCGCCTCTGCCAATCCTCTCTGCATTTTAGCATTCTTCAGGGATGGTCATGAAGGAAAAAAAGAACTAAATGCGATATAATCAACTCTCCATTGGCTTCTCCATCATCACAAACGGTGATCGCTGTTCCCTAATGAACCAGCCCTTCTCTTCTCTCCTGCTATCTGTAAGGTTGCTCTGCTCTCCTGGAGTCATTTTGCGGAGCCCCGCGCCAAGAGGGTTTGCTCCTAGGCCTCTGGAAGAGCACGCGCCTCTCAGTAAGCTGAAGCATTGCTGTGGTGTTGAGCAGCAGGGAGTAGGTGAAGCATGCTCACAGCTGCCCAGCAAGGCATGCTGGTGCTGAAGGGCACGAGATCCATTGTGTCTGGAATAACGAGGAAGGAATTCGTTTGAGCACAACAGAAGAACGTAAAGATATTTTTGCTGTGAAATAGTTATAAAGATTTTGCCTGCAACTTTGACTCATCACAAACTCGCAGTACTGATCATCCTGACAATATTATGACCTCTTAATTCTAGGCAGACTTGGGAATAACAGAAATAAACAAGCTGACAGCAGAATTTATCCAGACTCCTTTGAAAATCATAACGAAAGGTCAGTAGTTAACATTCTGTGAATGCTGATTTGGTTCTTAGCTACAGCCTTCGCTACATTTACAGATAGGGATGCCATTCTACCTTTACTCCTGCAACCTGAAGTAGTTTTACTTGCCTTAATTAAAGCATTCTGAATAATTCACAGCCGTGTTCTTTTTATTGTTGTCATCAGAATTCAGAGTTTGGAAGCAAGCTGTTGCCAAAAGAAGCTTGTAGTACATTTCCTTACCTTAGCTAATGGTCAATTATGCCTCGTTAGTTGTTTTTTTTTTTCCTGTCAACTTGAGTAGTGCTTTCTCCTTTTCAGAGAAAAATCTAAACAGGGTATTGAAGCTACTGAAGAAGCAGCAGAGGTTCCTTTGCTTCCTCCGGCAAAGAAAGCGAAACACGATGGCCAACTTCTGGAGCAAGCAGCTGCAAGTACTTATCCAAGAAACGGAAAGGTAAGCAGCTGCTCTTTGTGATGGCTTTTATTCCCGGGATATAAACTATGTACCGAGACGATGTTGATGCCTATGGTGGGACAGCTGTGCAGGATGCTCTAAGGGTGACTTTGAAAAAGCTGTTGCCTCCTGATCGTTCCGGTGATGCTGCAAGCTGGCTTTCATTGGCAGACAGTGCTGTTACTTGTGGCGAGCAGTGACTGCACTGCAGGTAACCTCTGCTTTTATTCCTGTTGTACTTCTGCACATGAGAGTCTCACCCTTCTCATCTGAGCGGGTGCCTTCAGCGTTGCTGTATGCAGGGAGTGATATTCCCTAGAGCAGAACAGTCTGGGCCACGTTGAAAATATTTACCAGCAGTGCTTTTCAGCTTTGTAGTTTCTGAGTTCTGCTGTGGGCAGTGGTAAATACATGAACCGTCTTGAGTCAGATTGGAAGTTAAGGTGGTCTGTTATCCTCCTGAAGTTCTGCAGCTGAGCTTTGGGGAAAGGATATGAGGGTAATACTCAAATGGGGAAGGTCTCAGAAGGTTGTCCCGTGGCTTGTGTCAGACTCCCGTGCTGCAGGAAGGAGCCTCCTGAGCCAAGCTTTTTGTATGGGAGCATTTGCTTGGTGCAGACTTGGCTGTCCCGGGAGAAGGAAATGACTGACTTGGCAGCTAATGTTTTTCAGGTGAGGACGTCCACTAAAAAAGCACCAGCGTCCAGGAGCAGAAGAGCTCCTTCACCAAGAGTGAAACGCATGAGTCAAAGGTAACAGCGACGAGTTTTATGGCAGGATTTCAGAAGCAGAGGGTAAAATTGCGGTGCTAACGTAGCTGCTGAATGGGGTGGTGCGTTGCCCGGCAGGCTGGGTGGTGTGGGCATGGCGTGCCGTAGGGTGATCTGTGAGGACCCTGGGTTGTCTCATCTAAGTCTTTGGTAAGACAGTGCTTACGTGTCCGTTAAAATTATTCTTCTGAGAGCAGGGCTCTGCTTACATGCTTCCTTTTAAGCAGATCAAGCAAAAGCAGCTTTATCACTCCGGCTACTGGCAGAAATCTCAATCTCTGTGCTTGAGGAGGCGCCTCCATCGTCACACCCAGGTTTGATTCCAGGTCTGTATTCTATTGCATTTCTCTGTTAATTTCTTACACAGAGGAGTGCCTTGCTGCTTGCTCCTTACATCTTGGTTGTCTGTATGCAGAATATTTTCCAGCAGCACTTTGAAACTGCAATGGAAGACTTTTGGTCCAAGTGCTCTAAGAAATTGCAGTAAAATTCCTTACCTGTTGCTTTTTCCAGTGTTTTCAAGACGCCGGGTTTGCGCACACCCGCAGTAACTGAACGTGTTTACACCATCTCTGCTAATGGCAGCCCCCTTGCTGATGGCAATAATATCTTCATTACCGTTCCTGTTGGAGGAGGGGAGGTAAAATCAAACTTGAGTCTGTAAAATCTATGCAGCAAGGAGAGCCTGTGCCTTCTTGGGGCCTTATCAGTTTCAAGGGACTGCTGTTCATCCATTCTCTCCCGATTACTTGTGTCACCGCAGCTTATCAGGAGGTAAATGTTGCTTAAAAAGAGCCTGAAGAAGTTCTTAGTCAGCAGTGGGAGCTGTCTAAGAATTCTGGTCTAAGCAGAATGCAGACTGTGCTGTGCTGTGCTTCTGCTCACAGTGCCGCGTCAGCACACCAAGGGCAGTACGGGATGAGCTGGTCAAGCTGCGTGTGGCTCTTGGCATGTACGCGGCCTCCTAGTGTGCATAGAGTTTTACTTTTGCTGCTTGTAGCTGCTGCAGCGAAACAATCAGGAAACCTGAGATTTGGAGGTGTTTGGCTTCTTGCAGAGCATTCGTTTAACAGCAAGTGATCTGACCAAGAAGAATCTTCTTCATCTCAATCCAGAGGCACGAGGCATTATGAAGAAGCTGTCTGTAAGTCTTTTTTTTTTTTCTTTTTTTTTTTTTCTGTTCGAGATCTGAAGCTGTAATGCAGCATTGTCTCTGTCCTTAATTATTGTCCTTAACTGTTAAGCTACTGAGCTGTAACAGAAGCTTCTTATTTCAAGTCTTGTATCTTAGCTCCTACCGCTAGTGAAGAAGCAGCATGAACTGGGAAGGGAAGGAGGGATAAAATTTCACACTTGTAGAAAAATAACTATTGTCAACATTTTGAAAAACTGAATTGAAACTAAAGGTGTCCTCTGTTCCAGGTGGAAAACGGAAGTGTGGCTGTGTGTTATAATCTCTTGATGAATTGCTCTTTCTTTCTAGGTTCGTCTTGCACAAGCTTGTAGCAGTGCAAAAACTCATAGGTGAAGAGCAATGAATGTCAACACCTTTTGTAAATGTGGAACTACTATAAGCTACAAGTACATTTTATTTGGTGTCTTGTAATTCTGTGAGCATTCATTTAAACAAAACAAAATAATAATAATAATAAAAAAAAGAAAGAGCAAAGCAGTTAAGACCAGCGCTGTATAACTGACAAAGCTGTTAATATTCAAGCGTCCCTTTCCAGCTGTCAGAGTGATTTGGTTGTTGCTGGCATGAGTCACAGCTACCTGGCAGCTACTAGCTAACCAATATTCATCACCCAAATTCATTTCCCATCCTGTTTGAGCCCTGTATGCCTCCAGGGAGTGGGTTAGCAATGGTTCTTTCCTCTGCAGTGTATTGCTTGCACACACTACTAAAATCGCTTCTGCAACCTACGTGGCAGTAGCGTTTGGCTTAACTCGTGCAACCTGCTGTAGGGAACTGCTTTGGCAAGGGGTTGGACTCGATGACCTCTGGAGGTCCCTTCCAACCGCTACGATTCTGTGGTTCTGTGACCCGCCTGGTGTCCAGGAGCAGCTCCTAGCTGAGCTGGGCAGCCCCGAAAGAGGGGCGCTGATCGAGGCGAGCTGGAGCCTGGCAGTCAGGCGTGCGCCTTTGGTTCTTGCTTTCCTCAAATCATCATCAGCTGAACCCGAAGTCATTCGTCGCACCAAAAACGGCGGAGGCACAAAAAAAACCGCGCATCATCCCGCCCTGAACACCGCCGCGCACCCCCGCTCAGCGCTTTCCCGGCGGCACGGATGCGACCCGTGCTCGCCGCTCTCCAGGAAGGCCCGCACGCAGCGGGGCGGCGCGGGTTCGGCATCGCCGCGATCCCCCGCGTCCCCGCCCTCCTCCTCCCGTGGCCCCGGAAGCGGAGTGGGCGCGCGGCGACAGGCATCAGCGTGGGCAGCCGGGCCGGGGCCATCCTGGACGCGCGCGGTGATGACGCAACGACGGCGCGACCGCGGACAGAAAGGACCCCGCGAGCGGTGCCCGCCCCGTTCCGCGGGCCGACCAATGGCGGAGCGGAGGAGGCGGGGCCGAGCGCGGGCTCTCCGCCAATGGCGGCCAGGGGGCTGCCGCAATGGCGCTGGCGGAGACGTGGGGCTCCGTGCGGGGAAAGTGGCGCTCAGACGCCCCGCGTCCCCGCCGCCGCCCTGTGCCTTTGGGACGCCGGGCGCTCAGGGGAAGGCGGCGCGGGGGCCCGTCCGTCCCCCGTCGGCACCGAGCCGTCCTTTGCAGTCGCCGTTCGGCGGTCGTCTCTCTGTCGCTCTGTGCGTTCGTCAGTTAAATGTTTACCGTTCGTTTCTCGGCGTTCTGCCCGCGGTCGTTTCTGCAGCTCAGGTAAGCCACCCCGTCCCCGTGCCCACCGCCGGGTAAGGACAGGGCGGCGCAAACAGAAGAGACTAAGACTAGCTGCACAGTTTTGAAAACTCTGCTCTGCAGACCAGCTGCTCGATAGTGTCCTGCTGACACGAATCCTGAACTTGTCTGCCCTCAGAAAGTCTTCCTGGATGTTCCTCGAAGGTTGCTAATATTCTTGGCGCTCTTGGCCTAGGTGAATTTAATTGGAAAACTTCCACTAGCTTAGCAGGACTGTCTTCTTATTTTCCATATGAAAGAACTGGATTAGTATTTTTCTTGCTCTTTTTTTTTGGATTTTTCTAACAATCTCAAAAGCCTGTAAAGCATGGCTTCCTGATAGCTTTCACACATGTTCTTTGACTCTGTGTATTTGCCTTTCATTTTCATGTAATGCCTTTCATTTTATTCTGAGGATCTGCTCGAGGCACTGCAGCAGTGCAGTGCACGCTTACGCTCTCAAACTCCAGGGCCCCTGTATAATCAATGGATATCAAGATTTTATAATCACAATATAATCAAGAGAGTTAGGCAAAGTAGACAATGATAACAAAAGAGAATAAAATGAAAGGCTTACCCTTCAGCTGAGCTCACCACAAAACACCAAGAGAGGTGATCTCCAGAAGAGATCCTTCCCCTCTGGTAGCCAGCTCTTAAATAGGTCTAGGAGGGGTGGAGCCAGGCTCCACCCCTTCCAGCAGCACAGGTGAATTGCCTTCACCTGTGCTCCTCTGGCTGACTCATGGTTCGCCTCAGGTGATCAATCAGAGGTTCAGGCCGTGACTCTGCAGTTCCCATACACTCCATCCCTTCACGGCGTGAACCGATGATCAGGTTAACAAAAGGGTAAGCTTTCTCTAATACAGAGATCCGGTATATCACGATGCTTATACAATTTTATCATGACGTGTGTTGGTACAATTCAAGACGAGTGATGATTAGTGGATGTCTATATTCTTATATGGGCCAGTGCTCGATGATGTGACTGGAGGCATGAGGTCCTGAGGTGCAGGTCCGTTCTATGTTCCATCAGTCCCATGCAGACCATCACCAGGTGTTGTACGTGATCTGACAGCAACACTGGAATGCTTGGTGGCATTTTATTCCTTCCAGTGGTCCTGAAGGCTCACAGACTCACGGGGAGTAATACAGATGTTTCACAGGTACCAGGAGGGAAGGTCTGCTCTCCAGGGCAAGATACAGGCCATATTTCTATCCTGGATCAACACTTCCGCTTGTACTGGGGCACGTCCTGGCTGCCTGTACCACACCTTCTGGCCAGATGTCTGCGGCTGCATAACAATATCAGGCACCAAAGGAGGTGTCCTGATCTGCCACAGGGACATGATGGGGGTCCCTTTAGCAATAAAGGGTTGAGGAGCGGGTAAAAGGGTTGATGGAGCGGGCATACAAGTAGTGTTTGCCAGTATTCCCTTGGTGGCAGGAACGAGCATTGAGATGACCAGGAAAAGCCATCTTATAAATGCATGGCTGAGAGGCTGGTGCAAGCGCAAAAATTTTGGATTCTTTGATCATGGGGCAGTCTACTCGGCACCTGGCCTGAGGTCTGCTGATGGGAATTGCCTGTCTCCAAAAGGGAGACGGATACTTGCCCAGGAGCTGGCGGGACTTGTAGAGTGAGCTTTAAACTAGATAGGAAGGGGGAAGGGGATAAAGCCAGGCCTGCTAAGAGAGCAGCCTGGGGAACTGGTATTGGGATTAGGTGAAAGGCAAGGGGCTCAGCTGAGGTGCGTCTACACTAATGCACGCAGCATGGGCAACAAACAAGAAGAGTTGGAAGCCATTGTGCAGCAGGCAAACTATGACCTAGTTGCCATAACGGAAACATGGTGGGATCGCTCCCACGATTGGAGTGCTGCAATGGATGGCTACAAACTCTTCAGGAAAGATAGGCAAGGAAGGCGGGGTGGCGATGTGGCTCTCTATGTTAGGGAATGCTTTTACGCTACTGAGGTTATGACTGGGGACGATAACGTTGAATCCCTATGGGTAAAGATCAGAGGAAGGGCTGACAAGACAGGCACCCTGGTGGGCGTCTGTTATAGACCTCCAAATCAGGATGAAGAGACAGACAAGGTATTCTATAAGCAGCTGGCACGAGCTGCACAGTTGCCTGCCCTTGTCCTCATGGGGGACTTTAACTTCCCTGACATATGCTGGGAGTACAGCACAGCACAGAGGAAGCAGTCTAGGAGGTTTCTGGAATGCGTAGAGGACAACTTCCTGATACAGCTGGTCAGAGAGCCCACGAGAGGAACTGCCCCACTAGACCTGCTGTTCACAAACAGGGAAGGTTTGATGGAGGATGTGGAGGTTGGAGGCTGTCTTGGACAGAGTGACCATGAAATGATAGACTTCGTGATTCATGGTGGAGCCTGGAAGGGGAATAGTAAAATTGCTACCTTGGACTTCAGGAGGGCGGACTTTGAATTGTTCAAGGGACTAATAGGGGGAGTCCCCTGGCATTCAGTCTTAGCGAGTAAAGGGGTCCAAGAGAGCTGGTTGCTCTTCAAGAAGGAAGTCTTAAGGGTGCAGGAGCAGGCAGTCCCCCTGAGCTGCAAAATGAGCCGGTGGGGAAGAAGACCGGCGTGGATGAATAGGGAGCTATTCTTGAGGCTCCAGGAGAAAAAGAGAATCTACCGCCTGTGGAAAGAGGGACAGGCCACTCAGAATGAATACAAGGAAGTCGTTAGGATGTGTAGAGGTGAAATCAGAGAGGCAAAAGCCCAGCTTGAATTTAACCTAGCCGCTGGGGTGAAAAGGAATAAGAAACTCTTTTATAAATACATTAACAGTAAGAGGAGGACAAAGGAGAATATCCACTCTTTGCTGGATGAGGCTGGGAATGTGACCACTGAGGATAAGGAAAAGGCAGAAGTTCTGAATGCCTTCTTTACGTCTCTCTTTAAAAGTCAGACCAGTTATCCTCAGGATACTCCTCTCTCTGACCTGGTAATCTCGGCTGGGGAGCACACTAACCCCCCTGTGATTCTGAAAGAAACAGTCAGAGACCTACTGCTCCAACTGGACTGTCACAAGTCAATGGGGCCAGATGAGATCCACCTGAGAGTGCTGAGGGAACTGGTGGAGGTGATAGCTGAGCCGCTTTCCATCATCTGTCAGCACTCCTTGTTGACTGGTGAGGTCCCAGAAGACTGGAGGCTTGCCAATGTGACTCCCATTCACAAGAAAGATCATAAGGAGGATCCGGGGAACTACAGGCCTGTTAGCCTGACCTCGGTGCCAGGGAAGGTGTTGGAGCAGATTGTCTTGAGGGAGATCAAGCGGCATGTGTGGGGTGACCGGGGAGGGGATCAGGCCTAGCCAGCTTGGGTTCGTGAAGGGCAGGTCCTGCTTGACCAACCTGATCTCCTTCTATGATCTAGTGACCCATCTGGTGGATGAGGGAAAGGCTGTTGATGTGGTCTACCTAGACTTCAGCAAAGCCTTTGACACTGTCTCCCACAGCCTTCTCCTGCAGAAGCTGGCAGCCCGAGGCTTGGATGGGTACACTCTCGGCTGGGTGAGGAGCTGGCTGGAGGGCCGGGCTCAGAGAGTGGTGGTGAATGGAGTTAAATCCAGTTGGCGACTGGTCGTGAGTGGTGTTCCCCAGGGGTCGGTGCTGGGGCCTGTCCTCTTCAATATCTTTATTGATGACCTGGATGAGGGCATCGAGTGCACCCTCAGTAAATTTGCAGATGACACCAAATTGGCTGGAAGTGTGGATCTGCCTCGGGGTAGCGAGGCCCTACAGAGGGATCTGGACAGGCTGGAGAGCTGGGCTGAAGCCAATGGGATGAGTTTCAACAAGGCCAAATGCCGGGTCCTGCACTTCGGCCACAACAACCCCAGGCGACGCTACAGGCTTGGGGCGGTGTGGCTGGAGGACTGCATAGAGGAAATGGACCTGGGGGTATTGATTGATGCTCAGCTGAACATGAGCCGACAGTGTGCCCAGGAGGCCAAGAAGGCCAATGGCATCCTGGCTTGCATCAGAAACAGCGTTGCAAGCAGGAACAGAGAGTTCCCCTGTACTCGACCTCGAGTATTGTGTCCAGTTTTGGGCCCCTCACTGCAAGAAAGACATGGAGGCCCTGGAATGCGTTCAGAGGAGGGCAACAAAGCTGGTGAGGGGTCTGGAACACAGGCCATATGAGGAGAGGCTGAAGGAGCTGGGAATGTTCAGCCTGGAGAAGAGAAGGCTCAGGGGAGACCTCATTGCTCTCTATAACTTCCTGAAGGGAGGGTGTAGTGAGCTGGGGGTCGGCCTCTTCTCTCGTGTCATTAGTGATAGGACCAGAGGAAATGGTTTCAAGCTACGACAGGGGAGATTCAGGCTGGACATCAGGAAGTATTACTTTTCAAAAAGGGTGGTCAGGCACTGGAATGGACTGCCCAGGGAGGTGGTGGAGTCACAGAGCCTGGGGGTGTTCAAGGAAAGGCTGGATGTTGTGTTGAGGGACATGGTTTAGTGGGAGCTATTGGTAATAGGCGAATGGTTGGACTGGATGATCTTTTAGGTCTTTTCCAACCTTGGTGATTCTATGATTCTATGATTCTAAGAGAGGCTCGCGGGGGCGGGACGGCGCTGCCGATGACCAATGAGACGCTGGAGGGGTGGGACGGCGCTGCCGATGACCAATGAGAGGCTGGCAGGGGCGGGACGGCGCTGCTGATGACCAATGAGACGCTGGCAGGGGCGGGACGGCGCTGCTGATGACTGATAATAGGCACAAGGGGGCGGGACGGTGCTGTCGATCACCAATGAGAGGCATATGACGGCGGGACGGCACTGCCGATGACCAATCACAGGCTGGCGAGGGCAGGAGGGCGCTGCCAATGACCAATCACAGACTGATGAGGGCGGGACGGCGCTGCCGATGACCAATCACAGGCTGACGAGGGCGGGACGGCACTGCTGGTGACCAATGAGAGGCTGAGGAGTTCTGGATGGCGCTACCGGTGACCAATCACAGGCTGGAGACACCGGGATTGCGCTGCTAGTGAGCAATCACAGGCTGGAGACAGCGAGACGGCGCTGTCGATGACCAATGAGAGGCACATGGGGGCGGGACCGCGCTGCCGATGACCAATGAGAGGTGCATGAGGGCGGGATGGCACTGCTGATGACCAATGAGAGGCTGACGAGGGTCGGACGGCACTGCCGGTGACCAATAACAGGCTGACGAGGGGGGAACGGCGCAGCATTTGACCAATCACAGGCTGGCGAGGGCTGGACTGCGCTGCCGGTGACCAATGAGAGGAAAGTGGAGAGCACTTTCCGGAAGGGACAAAGGTGTCACTTACCCCTCTGCAAGGATCAGGGCGCAGCAGTGCAGCAAATCAGGGGGGCCAAAAGGCAAACAGCATCTGGTGGGGGACTGGGCACATGGGCAAGGCATGGAGATAGATACCTTCGTGTCCAGGAACGCCCACACCTTTACCAGGAACAGGACACGCTCACTGTGGAACCTTGGACATCCCAAAATGCCTGCTACTTCTGGTGGTGGAGTCCCCAATCCTACAAAGAAAGAAGAAAGCCTCACACGCCGTCCTCAACACAGTGGGTTAGAAAAGAAAGGTGGGCATTGGACAAACCCCAAGACGAGGACAGCACTCAGCAGAAGCCTGTTTAGGAGATACCTCTTTTTTTGGCACCTCACTTGGTCACAAAGTGACCAAGTCATGGGGGTCATGGGAACTCCAGCGAGGCACCGCCAGGCAACATGGAAAAAAGAGAAGAGAAACAGAACACAAGTGTAGCAAATACTAGAGGAGCCAAAATGAATTGAACCTGCCATTTATTGAGAGCAAAAAGAAAAAAAAAGAAGAGAGACAGAAGGAAAGTGTAGCAAATGCTATGGAAACCAAAAGAAATCAAAAATACCTTTTATTAAGAGCAGCAGGTGGCACTGACATCCCATCAGCACTGGGCAGAACTGAGCACGGGGAAAGGAAGAACACCCGGTGAAAGCAACGTGAGCACGAGGGACAACCGACACCAAGCCCCAAAGGACCTCAGCGAGCGTGTGAAACAGGAGACGGCAGGGATCCACATACCTTGGCGCAGAGCCTCAGGAGCGGACACTGGCATCCACCAGCAGCTGTGCTTTCCTGCTGCATCCAACAAAGTCTTTCTCGCAGTCCTCACACTGCTTAGAAGAGCAAGCCGTGTCCGGAACCTCGAGTCGAACAGAATGCGACGAGCAAGGAGCTGGGCATCAATCTCAAGGCCAACAAGTCGGTCCCTCCCAAACCTCACTGCTCACCCAACCTCACCGACACCAGTAGCCCAGGCACACATCCGAGCCCTGCAATTCCCAGCCCTTCAATGAGCTCAGGCTGGGCTCTGGCTCCACCCAGTCCCACCCCCGGCTTCATCGCACCCACCTGGGCTTCCACCCTGCTGCTGCCATCCTGCACCAGCTTGTCCATCATTCCTTCACTCTCTTCTGTAACAGGATGAGGGGGAAGAAAGGAGAGAGAGAGAGAGCAAAGAGGAAAAAGGGAATAGGGGACAGCAGAGAACAAAAAAA